CTGTGTGCAGCTTCGACCGGCCTTGATAATTAAAATAGACAGACCCGGTAGAACCAGAAGCAGAGATGAACATGTTGATCAATGAGGTGTGAGGACAGATTGAAATCAGTCCTCAAGTGGGAGATTGTTAAGTCAATGGGCAACAACCCATTTTCTTCTAACTACCAAAGATAAATAAAAAAAATGGAGTAGCACACCGTGGGAGAAAAATGTTAGCACACATTTGTAGAAATTTTGATGCATTCTTTCTCTATAAATAGAGCTAGAATCATGATGTAAAAATCACAACCAAGAAAAACATAACAAAGAGAGAGAGAGAGAGAGAAAAGAGTAGAGAAGAGTGTATTCATACGGGCTTGTGTGAGTTGTAACATTCGATTTATCCTCTTATTCTAGTTCATTCTCCTGGCTTGGTTCGCCCCCGGACGTAGGATTTAATCCGAACTGGGTTAACAAATATTCGTGTCTTTTATTGATTTCACATTAGTGTGTTGTTATTATTCCATCTTATCCGACCTTATTTCCCAACAGTAACTCCGGCTCGTTTTCCAAGTGGGAATCCCTCCAATCCATGAGAAGCATCTGGTCCACGTCGAAAGGGTGCCCGTCGACCTCGGCTAGAATGCCGTGCGCGATTTGAAAACCAGGGTTTCTCGGCTTGTCGTACTCGACGAAATTGCTCGAGCACCCGCTCGCGTCGACGACGAGGCTAGCTCTGAGCTCGGACCCGTCGACGCACGAGACGAGAGATTTGAATTCCTCGTGCTCGACTTTCCACGCCTTTGTCTTGTGGAATCTTACGGTGCCGTTCGCGGCACAACCGGATAGGAATTTCGTTTTCATCTCCTTCCGACTGACTCTTCCGTAGGGATGGTCGAGGTGCTTGGTGTTACGTTCGTCTATAACGACAGAGGCCGTGGGCCACGTTTTGTCGAGACAGTCGCCGAGTCCTAAAGTTTCAAACTCGTCGACCCAAACGCCGTAGTTGTTGGGCCACATGGAAAGGGGTGAAGGGTCGATGCAGCATACGTTGATACCGTGTCGGGAGACTTGCTCGGCAAGGCGGAGGCCGGCTGGGTCGGCCCCGATGACGATCACGTCGAAATGGGTCTTGTCTGCAGGGTTGAAGAGAGGGAGGTCAAAGTCCAATGGTTTTGGCTTAGACATGGGCTTCAAATCAAGAAAGCTGGCAACTTTGGTGCTTCGATGAACTCTTTGGCGGTATTTTGTTGATGGATTTTGGGTTAAAGGTCTGGAAAATGGAGTTGAAAAAGATGGCTTTGACAAAGAAAGTGCATAACTTGGTGACGGCCAGAGAAGAGACTCCATGAGAGAGAGAGAGAGAGAGAGAGAGAGAGAGGAAGGGATGGGATGGACTTTACAACCTGAAAATAGAAGAGATGTACGAAAACAATGAAACTGAGAGAGGTTATATAATAGTTGTAGGGAGATTCTACATACGGAATCATTCCGTCGAATTATCCACGACAGTTACATGATGATCTAACGGTTACAAATTCCGACGAAATCGTTCTGTAACATGATTGTAGCATTTACCAATAGTCGTAAATTGACTTAATTCAAAAGCAATTAAAGTTGGCAAATTATGGGGCACATGATGATGCATT